CCTGACCTACGCAATGTAGAGGTCATGGTGCAAAGGACCCTACATTGAAATGACTCTGTATCATCCCGTTAAATGCAGTATAAATATAAAAATGACTTGACTTAGAGTTTAATTTTGAGAAAGATCTTGGAAATAACTGAACACAGGACTGAGGGAACATAGGGCTGACCCTGCTATGTCTCATGTGAAAGCTCAGAAGCTCCAGAATTCCTTCACTGAGCTGCAAAGGCTGCACTAGCTCTGCTTAACGGTTGGCTGGGGTTTAGGTAGTGACCATTCAAGACCAGAAAGAGGCATTTTAGGTTTAAACCAACTGGATTTCTGCACTGACCCTGGCAACACAAATGAGAGACCCATGTGATGCTCACGGTTTATTAAGAATACATTAACATTACAGTTGTTCTTAGAGTGATAATTGCTCTATTTGATTGTAACATGTTTGCCTTGTATAAAAGGACACAAATAGGCCTTGTTTATGGGATTTAAAATGTACACAGTTCTTTTAACTATCTACATTGATAGTAGTTAATAAATAAATATGCATGAGTTTAATTACAGGACATATTATTATTTTAATCGTTTTGCATTCTTCCTATCACTTTTCACATCTGCACACTGGCCTGGTGCACAGCAGAGAGCAGAACTTCAATTTAAAAGGTCACATTGTTGGTTCCCGTTCTCATTTACCCTCTTGAAGTTGTATTTGGAGTGATTCATCCATGTTTGAGGAATCTTTATTTTCCTGCATTCAAGGCGTCATTGCTCCAATCAACTCCCATTTTCACCACCACTGGTACACGCCCACTGCTCTCTACTTACTTCTCCAATTGTATTTTCTTCATCTGAGATACACGTATAGGATTCAGCAGTGTTGCGTAGTCATTTTGGTGCAAATGGGAAAAAAAAAAATCTGCCACTCACTACTGTGACTGAGTTGCTGAGACTTTGTTGTGATGCCGTTTATGGCACCATCAGCTCCCATTGGGCACCACCAACGCAACAGTCAATGGACCTGTTTCTTTTATTAAGTTGTTTTGGAAGAATGTTGTGATTTAAACTGTTCAAATTATAACATAATGACCCATGAGTGTCATAGATTATAATAGCAGGCTCAAGCATAATATGTCTTCTTCTTTAAATCAGTTACTGTAGCCTTTCAGTACCATTTCGTTGCATTTGTAGACAGTGATTCAATGCACACCACTGCAGAGCAAAATTTATATCTTTCCTTAAATTATTGCACCAAATTATAAAAAAAAAAAAAAAAAGACGTGAATGACATAAATGACATAATGACATAAATATTTGGCATTGTTATTATAGTATTTATTCTATAGAAATATGAAATTCTCAAACTTATGGCCTTAAAGACTTGATCTTTGAACCACTCTATTAAAAAAAAAAAAGACATCTGATTATATGATGCAGCTAAAATGATGATTCACTTCTCTGCAGGCAGACTTTTTCATTTGACTTTTGCAAGAGGAGAGTGAAAAAAAAAAAAATCTAGAGGAAATGAAAGCGTCATTTTACCGTCTGTAATAAGTGTAAAACATGAACACTGTGCTGTGTGTCCTCCCACACGGAGATCAGGTTCAGACCAGAGCGAGTGAGTCATGGTCTTACGTAAGCCTCAGACACATTGTTCACATGATGGGAAAGTTATCATGTTTAGAAATACAGTTTACAATACTAAGATTATTTATTTATGATGGTACTTAAAGGTAGCCAGACTAGGGCCATCTAGTGCCTCCACCACTAGACGGTTTGCAAGAACCCTGGAAGTTGTAGACCGCACACCAGGTAATCAGCAAAGATCTATGAAGCCATAACTGGATCCCTTTTGTGGTACAGCACAACAGTAAACAAAGTGATCGAGATGGATGTAGATGAAGCCATACATTCTGTGTTTGCAACAATTCTCGATATCAAAGATTTAAAGCCAAAACAAAGAGAATGTTTGGTGAATTTTATCAAGGGGAGATACGTTATTGCCCTTGGCTCATTACATACCAAATAGCAGGCATTTGATAAATAAAAGAAATACCCGCCTAATTCTAATGCGAGTTCAGATGGTTTTCACGAAGTGAAACCAGCTGATGAATCAGGCTAGCTTAAAGGCCCTTTATTATGTGAAATTTACTCCTGTGAGCCATGTTATAATGCTGTTTGGTTTACAGGAAGTGCTCCACTGTGCTTTTAGATTCCAGTTTTCAAGTTAACACCTACCTTTTACTTTAAATTCAGTAGAGATGAGCCAATCCAGGGCTGAAATGATCCAAATTATTCTAGTGAAGGTGTATGGAGTTTAAAAACAAAGTGGAGCACTTCTTGTATTACCACATGACATCACAAGTTGAAGTGTTTTCTGTTTAAAAGAAGAACTCAGCCTTAATATGCAGGATTTGTTTGTGATGAGGAAACAGTATTGTAACATAGACCAGAAAATAGCATAATATTGGATCTAAGTGTGTGACAATTATATTACAGACTTAAAAGTTTGAGATTTAAAAGGTTATCCAAAGTAGAGTCCAAATTTCTCCAAAGAATACTGGATCTTAATCTTTACAACTTCAAACAGATCGGATAGCATTTCAGTAACACTAGAGCAGGATGTGGCTGGGGCCTGAAAGTTTGGATACCTTGCCTAAAATGGGACCAAGATTTTTGCACATATCACTTACAAGCTTGAAGTGCTAATAAAAATGATTCTATTTCCTTTCCAAAATCCACATACTATCTTTTTAATTTTATTTATTTTTGACAGAAAAACAAGTTGAGCTGGTCTTTTTGTTATCTATACTACAGCTACTGAATGGTCTGTTTCTGTCTTCATCATATTCCCAGGTTTCAGTGTTGCTTGTTTTCAGGAGAAGAAATATATTATAAATTTTGATGTATGTATTTTCATGTTTTATGTATTTTTGGACACTCGAAGAGGGTTCATATTGCATTATTTATTCACTCCATACATGGTGGTGGTAAGCTACGACTACAACCTGACACAAGCGTCACATTCAGACAAGGTGGATGAAGTGTCATGCTTATGGACACAGTGACAAGGCTGGGATAAAACTGCTGTAGAATCCACCTGAGATTATTATGCACTTATTTTGTGGTTGATAAATGTCGCAAGATGTTATACCTTGTCACTTAAAATAGTAAAGAGTTAGTTACGATACAGGTACTGTATTTTTGGACTATAAGTCGCTCCGGAGCATAAGTCACACCAGCAAAAAAAATGCGTAAGAAAAAACACATATAAGTCACATCGCACTACAGGTCAAACTTTTTGGGGGAAATTCCAAATCACTAAATCCACTGAATCCTTCATTATCGGTGTCATTTCTGAGCAACTCCGGAGGTAAATGGAGTGCCGCTTCCTCTTCTGCGTAGCTGTCGTCAGACTCAGAATCAGTTCAAGTTAGAATTATTTCGGCCTTTTTGAATCCTGACAGGATGGTTTCGGTGTCACTGAAGTCCAGGCTTTGTCGATCCATCCAGTGACTTCCAGGAAAGTTGCATAGCGCAGCCTCCCGGTTGTCACAATTTTCTCGCTCACTCCAAACTTTTTTTCTGCTGCTTGATTACCGTTTTCGCTCCTTGCAGCTTGTAATCAGCAAAATATGTTAGTTAGTTAGTTAGTTAGTTAATTAGTTAGTTAGTTATTTTTTTTCAAACCTGCACATACAGTTCACAACATAACAATACAAATGCAGATACAAACATGCATGGTTTGAAAAGGGGATGAATGAAGGAAAGCTTTTACATTTCCAATCCCCTCCCTCATTTGACAGAACAACACTTCAACTTAGTGTATATTTCTTTCTTTTTGGGCGCAATTTAAAATTTTCAGTGGTACAGAAGTAATGGTGCGATCAGCTGACATGATACAGACAGTACAGTGGCTCTTTCTGCAGGAGACATGCGCAGTAGAGTGAAGTAACAGTGGTACAGGAGTAATAGAAGGAGCAGATACTGACACACGAGCCTAGAGCGCCCTCTCACAGCTGTCTCTGTGAAAATGTTAATATATAAGTCACACCAGAGTATAAGTCAGAGGAAACACCCAAACCATGAAAAAAGTGTGACTTATAGCCCGAAAAATATGACACATTTAATCTATTTATACTATGGTCCCACAAACCTGATGCTCACAACCAGGGGTGACAGAGGGAGACAAAGGAGTCCTGGGCCCCAGAATTGGACCTTCATTCTATTAATTTATATCACAGGAGGAGCCCATGTGAGGTTTCATGTCCCAAGCCCTGAAATTTCTGTCGATATGCCTGTTTGGTATTATAGAACTGTGTTAACTGTTGCCGGATTATCTGTGCAGTTATTCAAAATAATGCACAACAGTTTTCATTAGAATTCTCGGTAACACTTTATAATAACTACACCTTACTTAGCCTTAATAAAGCATGAACAAAGACTTAATTAATAATGAACAAAGATTTAATTCATAATGATTCACGCTTAGTAAATGCTTAATAAAGCATAATTCATCTTCACTTTAAAAAAGCTCTCAAAAAGACTTAACTAACAAATAACAGCTGCCTGAATTATCATTGCATTGTATTATTAGTAAATCATTTTCTCATAGCTTACTAATGATTAATAAATGCTCAAATGGTTAGTCCATGAGTAATTAAGTATGAAATAATTATGAGTAACTATTTACAACACAGGCAAACTAAGTGCAAGTGCTAATTAAGGTAGTAATTAAGTAGTTACTAAGCGTGAATCATTATTAATTAAGTCTTTGTTCATTATTAATTAAGCCTTTGTTCATGCTTTATTAAGGCTAAATAAGGTGTAGTTATTATAAAGTGTTACCAAATTCTCACTGACCTTGGTATAAAGCAGATTTTTATTGTGGATATTTCTGTCAGTCTCCCACAGAATTATATAGGCCTTTGCCCGGTATTTAAAATTAAGACATCCTCAAATTCTCCAATGTGAATGCAACTTATTTATTCCATTTCTTTGTATTCCAGGCCTGACCACGCTGCAGGTGGTTCTGGACACAGCTGCGGAGAGGAAGTGGCAGGTGACGGCCATAAACGTGGGGAACCTGAAGGACGAGCGCAAGGACGAAGCCTACCGCTCACTCTTCCAGGACCTGGAGAACAAGAAGGAGCGCAGGGTCATACTGGACTGCGAGCAGGACAAAGTCAAGGACATCATGGACCAGGTGAGGCTCCACGAGACGAGAGCACGCTGCGGGGTAGCCTACTGCATGTGTGTCTATGGTGGAATGTTCAGCAGTTACCATGGTGACACAGTGTTAGAAAACACTGCTAAGACATTTTAAAGAGCCTGTCGTGAATATGAGCATTCATGGTCCTGTTTAGGTGTTGGATTTGGAACAAAAAAAGGTGAGAGTGACCGACTGAAAAACTGGGTCATGTTATTTGAGAGGGTCTTGTTTGGCACCACAAATAAGCACTTCTGTAATTCAAACTAATTCTCTTCTTTATGGTCAGATTGTGTTAAAATAACACTCAGATTAAAGCCTAACTTGAGTAACAAAGCTAGTAACAAAGCACCACACCTCAAGGAAATGTTGCTGCGCAGTTGCCTTTGCTATCTTTTTGATTTATTGTTAAATTGCTGAGGAGAAATATAGACAGATAGAAAGAAAGATAGACAGACAGGTAGATAAATACTTTACTGATCCCAAAGGAAATTCAGTTTTTGACTTTGGAACTTTTTCTGAAAGCCACTTAAAGGTGCACTGTGTAACTTTTTGGTTTGGGGTCTGTCACTTGCTTGTTTCTGCGGCTTTGTCACTGCTTTGCCTGGAATGTTCCGCAGTATGACTTTAAACAGTTCTGCCCTACATTTATCCAATTACAGATGGTTTTATAGCTCGAAAATACCTAGAAAACCTGGGATTCTGACTGTGAGCGGGATTGTCTCTACACAGATCTGATCTGTATCTTAGTCTGGTTTGGTCTCCATGATGACAGAAAGGTTTAATTAATGCCATACTGTGAAACATTCCAGACAAAGCAATGGTAAATGGTCATATTTTTATACAGCGCTTTTCCAACTTCAAGGCACTCAAGACGGTTTACAACAAGGAACCACTCACCCATTCACACATAAATTCATACACCAGTGTACACAGTCACTGGGGGCGAGGTAGGTTAAGTGCCTTGCCCAAGGACACAACAACAGCATTCATATGTAAGAGCTAGAATCACACCGCCAACAGATCCACTGACCCCTCAACCAAACTTGTTTATGTCGACGGCAGGATACAAACTATCAACCATCATTGGACAACCGCTCTACCAGCTGAGCTACTGACGCAATAACATCTCCACAAAGAAAAGCATTTTATTACTTAATTTGTACCAGTTATTACTTGACTTTTGACCAAACCAAAGCATTTTTACCATCCAGTTACTAACCAGGCCCAAACTTTCATGGTGGTTGTGGACATGTTCTTGTGTTCCTGGAATTTACAACTACTGTTTGTTCATTTAAAGCTGGGCATTCAACTTTTTAGTCAAGTTAAATTTCCCCCATTAGAACACATATTGCTGTGAATTGGTGTGATGGCAGTCCACTTCACTAAAGCTGTGCAAGCGCCCAACGATTCTTGCATGTGAATACTAAAGTGCCAAAGGGATTGTGAGAGATTGTTGAGAGAGGAGCAAGTTATAAACATGGAAAACAGTTTATACATACATAACTCCTCCTTTCAGGGTTTGAAATTTATCCAAACTTTGAAAGGTACATTTCATAACATTTCCAGTAGAGGGTCTGTCACCTGCTCGTCTCTATGGTAATGTTATTGCTGTGTCTAGAATTTTCCACGGTATAGATTAACAGTATCTATCACCAAGGAGACAAGCAGGTTTCAGCTCTACGCTACATTACAATTCAGATCTGTGGAGAGTCGCCCCTATTCACAGAAGGAATTACAGTGGTCCCTCGTTTATCGCAAGGGTTATGTTCTAAAAATAGCCGGCAAAAGGCGAAACCCGTGAAGTAGTCAACTTTATTTTTTACAATTATTTACAATTACCCCTCATCACACACTTTAAACACTTTTCACAGCACAGTTACAACCATTTTGCGTCCTTCTTAAAACTTATTGCTGCTGTCGTCCTTATGTTATTTTCCTCCTTCTTTATGTAACAAACTGAAGATTAATTTATTCCGTAATGCCGACCTACAGCCGCAAAACTTCTACCTTCCTTCAGCATGCCCAGAAGTCCAACTTGTGTGTGCGATGGTTTGCATCTTCCTCTGCCTTATGGGTGCGACCGCAGGAGCCTTTGTCGCTGCAGAAAGTTTCGTCGACATTGTGGGTTTTGTCGGGGAGAAAACTTCAAACATACAGCACTTCAGAATCACACTGCTAGAGATCCAACATTTATGTGCATTTGGCAAACTGAACGCATTCTGTACTGTACAAGAGACACGGCACGGAGGAGACTGATTGACAATGGTCTACAATCCCTTAGTCAATCAGGACGCAGGGGGAGGAACACACAGTACGCTGTAGTAAAAAAAAAAAAAAAAAAGCATGCAAAATTGCACACACAAAAAAAAAAAAAAAATGGTGAGGCCGCGACAGGTGAACCGCGTTTTAGTGAAGGATGACTGTGTTGTATTTTTGAGCAAGAGAAACACCTGTAATGAATAAACGTTAAATGGAAATGTTTAAACTCACAACATTTTTGGTGCATTTTAGTTCCTGTAAGCTCTCCTGTTCTTGTTCTCTAGTGTTTTTTGCCTTTTTGTTATATATATCAAAAACTGAAAAGATCACATTTCATAAGTAGGAAGGAAAATATACTAAATTAAACTTATACCATGGAACATTTCAGGCAATGCAATGACATTGAGACAAGCAGGTGGCGGACCCTCCACCAAAAAAGTTGCGCAGTGCACCTTTAAATCCCTATACATAATTGTTTTGCATGTATTTCAGCAACATTTGTCTTGCCCTAGTATACTGTATAACCAGTTCTAGGACAAAACCAATCCACTGTGTACTGCTTACATCAAATTAACGCATTTTATTGGAAGTGCTTGTTGCTCTACCGAGACAGCAAATCTCCGCTTTGTTTTTATGAAAGTTGTGAAAATCGCTCATAAATTTATTGTGTGAATAATGCGGATGCTCGATATGTATAATGTAAATGAGGAATAACCTTGGACCACAGCAACAGTTTAAAATGACCTTGCTCTGTTTTTGCATTTTTAATAGTAAAAATCTGGTACAGCGCCCTGGGGTACTTTTACCTTAGTTATGGCTTTAGATATTTGCTTGTGTTGAAGGGAAACATGACTTGAGTTGACCTCTCAAAGTGTTCTGGGAAAGAGGGGCTTACAGGAGAGAGGCTGCATGTCTGAGAGTCTCATAAGAACACAGTGTTCATCTGAACCTGCTGCTGTCTGCACACACTGTACCGCCATCTGCTTCTGGATCAGCTCTGGAATCATGGGGAGTTTGTGAGTCAAAAGTGAGTTAAAACAGGATTTATGTGATTTATCCCCAAAAAATAGCAATGTACTTTTGGCAAGCTGTTACAATGAAGTATATATATATATATATATATATAAAGTCCGAGACCAGGACAAAACCCAGACCTCTGAGAGAGTTGAGACCATGACAAGACTGAGACTTTTAAAGGCCAATGCCAAGACAAGACCAAGACCATGGCCCATTGAGACCAAATCGAGACCATCTTTGTCATTTTTGACATTTACAGTATTTGTATTTTACACACATATATTAATGTTTTCATAAATCTACCTCCATTTTATCTGATTAATGTTCAGTTCATCTTAAAATAATCCAAGTAAACTGTACTGCACTGAAACACTCCTTTATTTGGGACCCTGACCCACAATTTGAGAACCCCAGCTTTAATCCTGCTTCCACTGGCACTTTACAGAAAACATCTTTAAACTTAATCAAGTGTTTTTTTGTTTTTTCTTAGTTTTATTTTTCAAGTTTATAACATTTACACTTACATTATCTTACTGCTTTTGCAGTGATATTTAGCAGCATCTGCACATTTACTGGCCCTAATGAAATATGATGGCACTCGTTGAGTGTCAGACCTCGAGTCCCAGACAAGACTGAGACCAAGCGCCTTCAAGACCGAGACAAGACTGAGTCCAAATACGCTCAAGTCCGAGACAAGACCAAGACCACAAAAATGAGGTCTAGAGGGTGGTCTTGAGACCAAGACCGAAAACCGACTTATAGTTTCGATCTGTGGAGATATAGTAAGAATGCATGTGTCTGAGCAATAAAACACTCATAATTAAGATTATTAAAGAAGTTTAATGCCATACTGTGGAACATTTCAGGTGAAGTAGGTGGCAAACCTTCCACCAGAGAAGTTTCATTAACATCACCCTGAATTGGCATCTATACTTGACAGTTTGAGATTGCACCATTAAAAAAACTATTATTAGCTTGTTGGCCTCAAAAATCCATTCACTAACCTTAAAAGCACCATTAGAAATAAAAGAATGTGCCTTACTTAGCCGTGAAAGCAGCTCTGTAATAAGGATAAAGCAGGATAACACATTTAGCTTCAAAGTCATTTATTTTCGTAAAGGAGGCGCCGCAGGCTACATTGTCCTATTCAGTTTTGGGTTTTTTTTTCTAGCTTTTTTTTTTTTTTTTTAAGGGCAAAACAATACTTGAATGTGCTTGGAAGGATTTAGTGAGAGAAAGCACCGTGCAGAGGTCCCGCAGATGTACCACAGCCCATAACAATCACACTAATGCTTCAACCGGGCCGTAAACAAAAGTGTAATTAAGGCCAAACGGAGCGCTAAACTGGCTATTTTTATTCCACCTGCCCCCGGTACAGACTGAGAGAGGCTGAACCCGATCGATGCGTGTGGATCTGAGGCTATAAAGGTGATCTCTCCATGGAGATGTTATTGTTATTATCTCTTCTGGAATGTTCCACAGTGCGGTATTAAATGTGTCTAGCTTGTGCTTGTTTGATTACAAGTGTTTTTGTTGCTAAAAATACTTGCCACTCCACTGCTCTGACCTGTAACTTGGCCTGTTAATGCACTTCTCTGCTCATCCTCCACTCCTCTGATCGTCCTTTACTCCTCTGCTCATCCTCCTCTCCTCTGCTCATTCTCTACTCCTCTGCTCATCTTCTACTCCTCTGCTTATTCCTCACTTCTCTGCTCATCCTCTCCTCCTCTGCTCCTCCTCTACTCCTCTGCTCATCATCTACTCATCTGCTCATTTTCTACTCCTCTGATCGTCCTTTACTCTTCTGCTCATCCTCCTCTCCTCTGCTCATCTCTCTACGCCTCTGCTCATCCTCTACTCTCTGCTCTCATCTCTTCTCACTTCTCTGCCCTCCTCTACTCCTCTGCTCATCCTCTACTCCTCTGCTCATCCTCCTCTCCTCTGCTCATCCTCTACTTGTCTGCTCATCATCTACTCCTCTGCTCATCCTCTCTCCTCTGCTCATCCTCTACTCCTCTGCTCATCCTCTACTTCTCTGCTCATCATCTACTTCTCTGATCGTCCTCCTCTCCTCTGCCCATCCTCTACTCCTCTGCTCATCTTCTACTCCTCTGCTTATTCCTCACTTCTCTGCTCATCCTCCGCTCCTCTGCTCATCCTCTACTCGTCTGCTCATTTTCTACTCCTCTGATCGTCCTTTACTCTTCTGCTCATCCTCCTCTCCTCTGCTCATTCTCTACGCCTCTGCTCCTCCTCTACTTCTCTGCTCATCATCTGCTGCTCTGCTCATCCTCCTCTCCTCTGCTCATCCTCTACTCCTTTGCTCATCCTCCACTTCTCTGCTCATCCTCTACTCCTCTGCTCTCTCTCTCCTCTGATCATCCTCTACTCCTCTGCTCATCCTCTACTCCTCTGCTCATCCTCTACTCCTCTGATCATCCTCTACTCCTCTGATCATCCTCTACTCCTCTGCTCATCCTCTAATCATTTGCTCATCTCTACCCCTCTGATCATCCTCTACTCCTCTGATATCCTCTACTCTGTCTCTCTATCCTCTGATCACTCTCCTCTGATCATCCTCTACTCCTCTGCTCATCCTCTACTCCTCTGCTCATCCTCTACTCCTCTGATCATCCTCTACTCCTCTGATCATCCTCTACTCCTCTGATCATCCTCTACTCCTCTGATCATCCTCTACTCCTCTGATCATCCTCTAATCATTTGCTCATCCTCTACCCCTCTTCCCACTCCTCTGCTCATCCTCCACTCCTACAAATACAGTTTTGGCCAGCTAAGTTGTCGGGGTTGATATCCGTCGCCGTTTTTGTTCCGCCAGAAACGAGATAATAAAAGATTCCACCTTGATAGTGTCAAGTTTCATTAAAACTTGACTGTATCAAGAGTGGGGGCAGGATTTAGAAGAGTGGAGGTGGGATTAAATAAATTATCTTCTTCCCTCTCCTTTTTGGGCAATTTTTTTGTTGTTCCATTGCATAAAAAATGTAAATGTCTTGCCCCAAAATAAATATGTACATAAATAAATAAAAACTGACATTTCCATTTCTGTGTCAGTTCTGTCAGGGTATTGTTATTTTTGGCAGCCCATTTTCAAGTAAAATGTTAAACCATATACACTTTCATAGCCTATAGATTTCCCATGTGCCCTCCCCGTGCATTTCACCGCTGATATAAGAAGCTCGAATCTGGTCTGCCACTCAAACTAATACATTGGTTTCCGCTGCGTCACTTATGCACCTTGATATTCGGGTTATTTCTGTCAGAGCGCTGATAACTGCAATTGTGTTTTCCTGTTCACGGCCTGTGACAGTGAACGCACCACCACAATAGACTGCCAGACATGTGAGGAGTGACAAATGATCATGTGTGAATTAGACGCTGGTGTCACTGATAATATAATAAGACCTCGGCATTGAAGTGTACAGTGAATAGAGAATGCAGAAGAATAGAATAAGGCTTTGAAATCTTCTAATGAAATGTTGTCTGTTCCATAAAAGATAGCTGGCACTGAATAATGTATTATGATTTAAATGATTATGTCTTCTTCTTTTTCAGGTTATCACCATCGGAAGGCATGTCAAAGGATACCATTATATCATCGCTAACCTGGTAAGTCTAATTTCTGTGTTGGTTTGAAGTTAAAGGTCCTATATTACACAAAATTGTCTCTTTGTGAGCTGGAAACCATGTTATAATGTTGTTACCTCCTCAAAAGCATGTCTAGAGTTGTTTTGATTCATTCACACGTGTTTGAGTAACCCTGGATCATTAGTCTATCTATATCTCCAAATCATTCTAATGAAGGTGTACGGAGTTTAAAAACACAGTGAAGCACTTCCTGTATTACCACATGACATCACAAGGTGGAACAGAGTGTTTTCTGTTGGAGAGAAGAACAGCGGGGTTTGTGTGTTAAACATGTGAGAATTAAAACTCAACTCCCAAAACAATAAAAGGTAACATGATGATCCAAATATGTAATATAATAGCAATTAATAGTCCTATAAAAGTGTACTATGTCTTTAATAAACATTTTTCTTATGCTTTAATAAGGTTAAATTAAGGTGTGGTTACTGTAAAGTGGTACCAGCATTTCAAAATAACCAAAAGTTACTGTATTTTTCGGACTACAAGTCGCTCTGGAGTATAAGTCGCACCAGCCAAAAAAGGTGTAATGAAGAAGGAAAAAAACACATATAAGTCACACTGGACTATAAGTCGCATTTTTGGGGGGAAGTTTATTTTAGAAAATCAGAGACCAAGAACCAATCAATCTTGAATGGCAAGCTATAGTAATAACAATAGAACAGAGGACAACAGACTGTTAACGTCACATATGAACAGTTCTTCAGATAATTATAGCATAAACAACAGAACAAGTTTACCAAACTCTCCATCTCACTCCAAATCACTAAACAACGGAGCAACTCCAGGACATCCAGAGATAAACGGAGCACCGCTTCCTCTTCTGTGTAGCTGTCGTCAGATTCAGCATCAGTTCCAGTCACAATTATTCTGGCCTTTCTGAATCCCAACAGGATGGTTTCGGTGTCACTGAAGTCACTTAAATTTTAAATTTCCAGTGGTACAGAAGTAATGGTGCGATCGACTGACATGATACAGACAGGACAGCGGCTCTTTCCGCAGGAGACATGCGCAGTAGAGCGAAGTAACAGTGGTACAGGAGTAATAGGAGTAGCAAATACTGACACAGAAGCCTAGAGCCTCTCGCAGCGGTCAGTGTGAACATTTTAATATATAAGTCGCACCAGAGTATAAATTACAGGACCATCCAAGCTATGAAAAAAGTCTGACTTATAGTCCGAAAAATACGGTATTTGGAAATTGTAAAGCCAATGTTGGCATAAACTGACTCAATTACTAATACTTGCTAAACGTTGGTAATACAGAAATAGTAAGAAACATAGAACTATTTTGACTATCGTGTTTCAAGTTCCAAGTTGTTTGCGAGTAACAAAACTGGACGATTTATGTTCATGATTACTTTAATATCTGCACATTTGTGTATTGTTTGCCAAATGCATTTGTGTTAAATGCAAGCTCACAAATAACTAGGATTTTGCCATGCTTATTCTATTATGGATTTCAATTTGAGCCACCTGGCCATTTTAATTAAATATCTTCTTTTCTCTCTGAGAGTAATAAGAGCTATTGTTTAAACCTGGCCAGAAAAGAACGCACTCAAATACAGGCTAATGGGATTACACTGAGCAAAGTGATGCTCCGTGTCTGTTCCAAAATAACTCTTTACAGCACTGAAAGGAACAGATGTCAATAGAATGATTTTAAAACATAATTTGAAACCATTTATTGAAATTCTGCCTCTTTTGTTTTGATTTGCAGGGCTTTGTGGACGGGGACCTGTCCAAAATCCAATATGGCGGCGCTAACGTGTCCGGATTCCAGATAGTGGACTTTGACGATCCTCTGGTGTCCAAGTTTGACCAGAGATGGGAGGCCCTGGAGGAGAAGGAGTATCCAGGAGCAGACAGTCGGATACGGGTAAGATATAGCGGTAGATTTTATGTAGAATGTATTATTGGATATGTGAAATATAAGGCAACTTTCGAAATGATCTGGTTCCAAAATCAGTAAAAATGGTGTCAAAAAAAGTTAGATCCCAGAAACCAACAAGTAAAAAGATTATAATGGTCAGAATCACCACTACTACATATTCTGAATCAGTGGTAGCTGTAGTGGTACTTCAAGTGGTAGTTCGTAGTTGTACATGCAGTGGTAGTTGTAGTTGGTAATCACAGTGATAGTGGAAGTTGTAGTGATACTTACAATGGTAGCTGTAGTGGTACATACAGTGGTAGTTGTAGTGGTAGTTAGTGGTAGTTGTAGTGGTACATACAGTGGTAGTTGTAGTGGTAGTTAGTGGTAGTTGTAGTGGTACATACAGTGATAGTTATAGTAGTAATTTAGTGGTAGTTAATGGTAGTTGTAGTGGTATGCGTAGTGGTATTTAGAGTATTACTTGTAATGATAGTTGAAGTGGTTGTTGTAGTGGTACACAAAGTGGTAGTTGTAGTGGTAGTTAGTGGTAGTTATAGTGGTAATTAGTGGTAGTTAATGGTAGTTGTAGTAGTACATACAGTGATAGTTATAGTGGTAATTAGTGGTAGTTGTAGTGGTATGTGTAGTGGTATTTACAGTATTACTTGTAATGATACTTGAAGTGGTTGTTGTAGTGGTACACAAAGTGGTAGTTGTAGTGGTAGTTAGTGGTAGTTGTATAGTAACAGGTACATAGTGGTTATAGTGGTAATTAGTGGTAATTAGTGGTAGTTGTAGTGGTACATGTAGTGGTATTTACAGTATTACTTGTAATGATACTTGAAACGGTTGTTGTAATGGGACATACAGTGGTAGTTGTAGTGGTACACAAAGTGGTACTTAAGTGGTAGTTGTAGTGGTACATAGAGTGGTACCTGTAGTGGTATTTACAGTAGTAGTTGAATGGTACATACAGTGGTAGTTTAGTGGTACTTGTAGTGGTAGTTGTAGTGGTACTTTGTGGTAGTTGTAGTGGTAATTAGTGTTAGTTATAGTGGTACATACAGTGGTAGATGTAGTGGTACTTAAAGTGGTAGTTGCAGTGGTAGTTAGTGGTAGTTGTAGTGGTAATTAGTGGAAATTAGTGGTAGTTGTAGTGGTACATGCATTGATAATTGTAGTGGTAGTTGTAGTAGTACATATAGTGGTAGTTATTGTGGTATTCACGGTGGTACTTGTAGTGGTACATGCATTGGTAGTTGTAGATGGTACTCACAGTGATAGTAGAAGTGGTAGTGATACTTACAGTAGAAGCTGTAGTTGTACTTGCAGTGGTAGTCTTAGTGGTAATTAGTAGTATTTGTAGTGGTACATACAGTGGTACTTGTAGTGGTATTTACAGTAGTTGTTGCAATAATACATACAGTGGCAGTTTAGTGGTAATTGTTGTGGTACTTAGAGCAGTAGTTGTATTAAAACTAACATCCACCAGCGTTATCGAAAACAGTACTTAAGACAAAAAAAAGGCTGATACCCGCTGATATAAACGTATAGTACAATATTACTCACAAAAGTGCTTCCATTTCAACGTATGTGAAGCAAAGATAATATGGCATTTAGAGTTCACTTTTTTTTTTTTTTTACCTCGGTATTTTTTAAAATGTTTTTCACGCTTTGTACCCAAATGCAGTATTTATGTATTTCCTCCAAACAAAAGTGAGTTGTAGCAGAACAAAAGTGCCCCGTATGCAGAGTAAGTATTTCCTGAGAGGCCTCCTGAATTATGTACACTGTTTACATGGGACTCAAAGTGGCGAAGCTGCACAAATGGGAGATTTTCAGACTTAATTAAGTATTTATACAGTTATTTAACAGTTTAAATGTTGACCCTTTTACAAGCTTTGCTCATTTGATTTAATTCAAAGTGAATTTTTCACACAAATTTTTGGATTACACATTTGTTACTATTACACCATCCAACCAACCAACCAACCATGTCTACATTTCAGTTTTGTAGAGAGTATTTCTAATTGGAGTAGGATAGTTGTAATACTTGCTCATTTTACTTGCTCAAGCCTTATTGTCATTCTTAATTATCTATTTAAATGTCATTCAGCTGAAATTTGAACTGACATTTAATTGCTTATTGATTGTTGCTCCAGTTGGAATAGTAAAGCAATTGTGTCAAGTATCATTTTTGCCTGGAATTTAGAAAACACATTATCTCCCAAAGTACAGATGTCAGGATTCCCACAGACATGAAAATCCTGAAAAAGTCATGGAAATCGAAAATATAATTTTCCAGGCCTGGAAAAGTCATGTAATTTTGTAAATTCAAGTAAAAATTTTGGAAAAGTCATATAATTTTAGTATCTCTTTCAACTACATCGTTCTGTTAAGTTATCAGGCTATTATGATTATTTCCTAAAGTATGCACTTTTTTTTTTTAAAGAGATTACAATAAATGCACTGACTGTATTTTTATGTTAAAAAACTATTATACCAAATCATAAGGTGAGTGGAAACTTATACTTGGACATTTCATATTTAGCTCTAAAAAATATGCAAAATTCTACACATGTAGGTGCCACAAAGTCAAGAGAAATTCACTTTAGATCATGAAAAAGGCATGGAAGAGTTTTGAAATGTTGTCAGTGAAAAAGAGTGGGAACCCTGAGATGTGGATGATTGACAGGTGTATTAGCCAGTCAGGGACATATGTGGTCGAGGAAAAAAAAATAACTGAAAAACATTGCAGATTTGTAGTTTAGTTGAATGCTTCACAATGAGCAAATCACTGAGATGAAACAAAACTGATTGCACGGTTCTGTCTGAATCTGGCTCAAGAGGGCGTGTACAAAAAAAAAAAAAAAAAAAAAGCGAGATTCTGGTATAAATAGTACAAGTATAAAACAACAATAATTTTAGTTTTGTGTTTGTTTGTTTGTTTTTTTTGTCTGAAATTGCCAAAGTATTCTGCTTCTGCTTGTACTTCTGTTGAGATTTGAACTAAGTACTTTTTCGTCAGAGGGAGAATTCTTATGGACATTTACCCAACTTCTAGTATAGAAAAAACTGGAAAAAACAAGCAAATAATACGTCTCATAACACATTTTTTGGTCTCAGAATACATTTTTGCATAGATTCCCTTTGCTGGCCCAATGCCTATATTAATAACACTATTTTTTTTTTTATCTCAAACATTCTTATTCAAAATGTTAAATACATATGTCCTCTCCTCCACAGTACACCTCGGCTTTGACTTACGACGCGGTGCAGGTGATGACTGAAGCTTTCCGGTACCTCCACAAACAGCGGATTGACTTCACCAGACGGGCAAACACTGGGGACTGCCTGGCTAACCCGGCTGTACCATGGGCCCAGGGCGTGGAGATAGAGAGGGCACTCAAACAGGTAAGTACATTATAGCGCTCAAGTAGAAGTAAAAAGTAGTCATTCAAGTATATGCAAATGTACATAGATGTGCCAAAATGTTGTATCACAGTATAGCGTACTGGCAAATTTATAGTACTCAGATGGGAGTAAAAGTAATCATTCAAATATTCCAAAGTTGTAAAACACATAATTGTCAGTACCTAAGTTTATATAAAATTTGTAAAAGAGCCTTAAACTAGAAGGTATGAGGTTCGATTCCTACTCTGACTATGCTGTAAAACGCTATAGCTCACCATAAAGTGATCATTTATTTTCAAATATAAATAAAATAAAGTTAAACAAAGTATACACTGAAGTATTATTATCTGATTCTTGGAAAAAAATGTCAGATTTTTTAAATTTAGGAACTTATTTATGTATGTAATCATTTATGTACAATGTTTAGAGCTCCAAAATGCCAAAATACCAAAATATATTAGGTGCAGACAAGGAGAGGTATTCTACTGCATGAGGTAAGAAACAGAAATATTAGACATGTTTTGGAGGTGTACTCACTCATTTTAGATCAGCAGTCTCTCCATCCAGGACCAGCACTGGTTGTTCTATTGTTTTTGTCTGTTATGTACGGAAGCCCTAAGCGGCAATCTGATGTTTTCATTGCACTGAAAAACATGCATCTTCATTCTGAGAGGGCTTGGATCTTCACAAACGTGACTTTTATCTGGTCCGGAAGAGGGGCTCCTCCCGCTTGTTTCCATGGAAATGCTGTTCCTTTTGCTATAATTTTCCACATTAAAAAACTCAATTTTCATGAAGAATGTTCCAAAGTTTGAGCTTAACTTTCTATTTCCACGCAATCATACTGGGAGTGTAACATCTCCAGAAAGTTATGCAGTAAATGATTAAGTAAATTAAAGTAAATGGTTCCTACAGTCGTGCATATGCTAGTCTTAAATACAGTGACTCAGCATTAAGCCAGTCAGCTGTGCATTATAAAGGCCTTATTAGAGCTGCAGTTGATTACGTCCCTTCTGCTTAATTGTATACTTAATGTCTATAGTGGCAGGTAATAATATCGGGTGGGTGGGCAAACAAATGCGCCATAGCATATAGCCATGAGCTATTAGCTGTGCAATTGGCTGTAGCATTTGGTCTAACAGAATAAAATCAAGAACTCCATAGTTATTTTATATTATCTGCGAAGACCAGCCCATTCATATAATGTAAGGTGTGAAGTGTCTTACCTAAGGATACAGTGAACTGTAATTGAACCATCAACATTTGTATGTAAGTTTTGGAATCTCTTCTGTCACTTTAAAATGGTAAACATTTTAATAACAGTTTTGCCTTGCAAGTGAAGTATTTACATTTTAGTGCCGTCTGTAACATTCTGGGAGTTAAATCCACCCATAACTGATTCCCTGCATAATCTTTAAAGAGGGAGTATGATCCAAAACCAACTTTTTTGGAGCTTTCTATCCTGTTATAATGTTCTCTCATCAAAAACATGTCTGAAGTGGCTGCTTATGTCATCCATGCATGTTTGAGTAATCTTGCCATCTCTCCCAGGCCCTATTTGAACCTTCCTTACAGTTAGTATACAATCCTGAACAAGACTCAGCCCACAAGCCGACAAAGCCCAAGCTCCTGCACGGCCATGATTGATAAATGTACAATAAAAAAATATAAAGATACAACTGCATATACACTACAACTTCACAAACCATGAGCAGCAAGAGAAAGGGGGACTCAGAGCTTCAAAAACAAAACTGAAACCTATGAAATATTTTCAGTTTTTAATACATTGTTTTCTACAAATTAAACATTTTCAAATCAATAAAAGTTAACATGGCGATCTAAATATGTTATGAGTTAGCAGTTACTACCCAACAGAAGAGTAATAGTACTTTAAATTGACTGCTCTAAAAAAAAAATCACTTGGATTGCTTGATCAACAAATGATCAAATTATTGCATCATTAGCTCAGTTCAGGTTTCTTCTTACCTAACCATGCTGTGTTTGCTCCCTTTACTGGGGAAAAAAAGAAAAAGAAATCTACTTAAATTAAAATGAATTATATCAAAAACATTTTACTTTATTTGAGTAGATTCAACTTGACAAATAAAATAATCTACCAATGGATTTAGTGTGTGTTTTTTTCTAATTCAAGCAACATTTGATTTGTCTCTTGTTAAGTGCAAAAAGTTGTTGTTTTTCTTATTTTAAGAGTAGCAAGATGTATTTTCATATTTTAAGTACAAAAAGTCTGTTTTTTGTTAAGTGAAATTCACTCAAATCATGATAAAACTTTTTTAATTCAAGTCATCTTAACTTGGCTGGATTTTGTTTTCTGCAGTGTGTATGCCTTTGGCCTCTTAAAGTCTGCAGTTTACTAGAGCTGTATTGAAGTTTTTAAAGCTTCTGACAAATATATAGATTAAAAAGCAAAAACATATGACCAGTGTTTCAGCTGTTTATGGTAAAAGTCTTATATGATGCAAAAATGACCCTTGTGAGCTTTAAGTTGTGTTATTACCTCATTAAAAACATGTCTGGAGTTGTGTTTTGTTTCATTCTGTCTACCTCTCCAAAGCTTAAAATGCTCTGTCCCACCTTGTGATGTCATGAAGCAGTAGTTTAGAAGCTCCTTTAACGTTTTTTTTTTTGGTAAGGATGAGCAATTCCAGGGCCGAAATGATCCAAAATTCTAGTGAAGGTGTTTGAGGTTTAAAAACACACTATATCATCTATATTACAACATGACGTGACGTTGTTTGAGAGAAGAACTCAGCCTAAAGTATGCAGGGTTTGTGTGTTAAACATGTGTGAATGAAACAAAACACAACTCCAGGTATGTTGCATTATAACAGAGAACAGAAAATAGCTAAGGACGGGCCCTTTAATCTAAGCTGCTGTCAGTGTTAAGTGCACCAAACTCAAGTTAAGTGTTTTAAACAACGTCATCTCTATGTCCATTTTCTATTGTCTATCCTCAGATGTGGTGTTTTAAAATCCGTCTGCTCCCAGCCATTATCAGACGACCCTGCTTTTTAATTGACTCCCCTTCCCTATTCAAGCACACTTTTTGTTATGCCAAAGACCTGTTGCCGTGGTAACAGCAGATCTCCTTTCCGTCTGCGGGAATGCAAAAAAACGCCCCCCCCTTCTTGTTTGAGCGCGCAGAAATGGCAGACTTGTGCGTTTGGGATGGGATGTGAATCACGATTAGCTTCACCCCCGCTAAGAACAGGGCTGGCATACAGGCTCCGGCGAGGTCGTCTGGTGCCATTCGCTGCTGTCAGGAATAGACGTGCTAGATCATAACAATAAGCTGCAAAAACATACAAGGAGCACATAGACAACAGTGTAAAATGGTAATGTAAGGCTAATGTGATGTTCTATTGACTGTTATGCAAATGTGATATAGTGTTAGGTTGTCTGATATATGCCAGCGCACAGTAGTTTCTCTTTTTTCTTAGTTTCCGCACAAAACAAAGCACAACTCCAGGTATGTTTGTGATGAGTAAATATTATAATATAGATCAGAAAATAGAATAATATGGGCCCTTTAATGTCTCTGTACAGAAAGGTTCAACTAAACCTTTTTATTCCTCTGCAGTCGTTTTTGCTTCATCTAGAATGTTCCACAGCATGCCATGAAACGTATTATCTCCATGGAGACAAGAAGGTCTATAACACCAGAGGTATTGCTCAGTGAACCTTTAAAAATCTAAATTAAGCTAAAGAAAGATTGCTTTGTTTCTACATCTCACTGATCAAACCTGCCATCTTTCTCTTCTCTTCTCTGCCAAACATCGAACTATCTTTGAATCTATTGCGAAGACTGCAGCCTGAAGTGACCCAAATCAATTTTTTCGCCCCTATGCGACCTGTGTCTGAACACGGATCCGATATTTTCAGAATGTGACCCAGACCACTTGGATATGTGCTCCTGAAACAGATACATATCCGATCTTTTGACATGCGACTTCAGTCTGAACGGCCAGGTCGCATTCATCTGACCGACACCTCGCAAATGTACACAAACGTTCTTCTTGTCATCTGAAAATTATGTATGAACTCGGTGAAGCAGCGAAGCAAATCAAGCGCACCACTCTTAGCTGCGACGCCACACCCACACATTCCTTTTTACGGACGTTGCTGCCACTGCCCCGCAAAACGCCATGGTCAAAAACTTTGTCCTTGTCCTTCTCAATCTCCTCCTTAAAGGTTGTATAAAGGATTTTTTTAAGGGAAGAGAAATACAGCGACAGTCCTTGTGCGCATTCAGAATTACTGTTGAAGTGACCTGTCTAGAAGTAATTCAGCAACCGATGCGTCAGTTTTTAGACCCTTCGTCTGCTTCGGTCGCGCCATCGCTGGACAAGATCTCCAAGAATCACCTCAGTTTGACTTTGCTCCTTTTCCCCTTCTCTTCTTCCTTCAGCGACCTCAAAAACGGACTTTCTTTGTGGCGAACCGGTCGCGGATTCTCGTCCACCGTCGCGACAAACTTTGTGCGAAATGCGAGGAAGCGACAGTTCGAAAAAGCCTCTAAAAACCGCTGCGTAAACCACGTAATCCCCGCGCTCCGACGAATCAGTTATACTAGGGAGTTTGATTGACAACCTAACAGTCAATAGAAAATGAGGGAGCCTCGTTTTCTATTGGCTGATGTTTATCTGGCCTCAACACGTCCACAGTTGATAGATTTTGTCCTTTTTTTTTTTTGGTCATCATAATTACAAAGCTGCTGCGTCTCTGTAATGGTATTTTAATCTTTGACTTACAGTTTGAAACAAAAAAAAATCCTCCATACAATCTTTAAAACACATAAGCTGTACATGTTCTGGGTCCGGTACAAGAACAACTTTAAAATTGCCAGGTGCTCAATGTCCATGTTTATGCTACTTTAAACGCTGAGCATGCGTGTATGCGTGTGTGTCGTGTCTTCAAATGCACATGGAGGCCACTTCTGGGGTGTTTAAAGTTCACACTGGAAATCACAAACAAGACGGATTTAATTGGAAATGTGAACAACCTCGCAAAAAAATCATATTTCACAAAAAATCCAAATTGAGCGTGAAGCCTTGCAGTCTGAACTTACTTGCCCTTTATATCTGACCTGGACCTTCTTACTTTTGAGGGGAGAGTACCTGGAGCATGTTTTGACAGCTCTACTTTTGTGCTGTAGGTGCGAGTGGAGGGCCTGACCGGAAACATCCAGTTTGACCAGCACGGGAAAAGGGTCAACTACTCTGTGAACATCATGGAGCTCAAGACCAACGGGCCAGTCAAGGTAACAACTCCTGCACTCACACTCTTCTCATTTTAACACACTGTCAATATGTTTACATGCACGCCAGGAAAACTGGACTAACCGGCCTAGTTCGATTTAAACCACACTTAACCCAGGAACGCTTGAGGTGTAGTGATTCCAATCCCAATAACACGTGTGGAGAAGCTGATATGTTCTCAGATAATCCAAGTTACATTAGGTGCAGACTAGGAGAGGCATTTAGCTGCATGAGGTAAGAAACAAATATTAGACATGTTTTTGGAGGTGTACTCACTCATTTTAGATCAGCAGCAATTACAAAACCAAAGTCTCACCATTGGGGACTAGCACTGGTTGCTCTATTGTTTTGGTCTGTTATGTATAGAAGCCCTGAGCAGCAAAAAAAAAAAAAAAAAAAAAAAAGGGCTCCATTTTCATTTGGGCTCCATTTTCTAAGTAGTTTGTTTTATTTATTTATTTTCATCAAACACTAGTAGTAGTATTATTAGAAGTATTAGTATTAAGTTCTGGACTGTTGATTATATATATATATATATATATATATATTATATATTGATTTATATATATGTTTGATTTATATATATATATTATATATCAGTTACATGTTACATAAACAGTACTAAATAAATAATTAATACATGTTTTTAGCACACAAAAAAATAAAAAATAAAATAAATCAAAATTTAGAGATGGAAAATGGAGCTCAAATAACATGCCTTTTTTTTTTTTTTTTTTTTTTTTTAAGTTTGCCGCTCAGCTCCCGTAGTTATGTTAAAGTGAAAGCAGAAATTACTGGAACATTAATCATTAATATGTTTATTATTTATGTCACTTATCTATGTCTGTCAAAAGTTAATTTATTGTATTTTTGTAATATAATCACTTTTCATCTTTTCTGCTCTTAAAGTGTGGTTACATGCATGACAACAGATTTATTTGAATTTATTAGTATTAGTGCTAATGCTAAAATACTAGATGCCCAGTATTTCTCAATAATACAGGAGACTATAGTGCGCCCAAAGTCTAAAATTGTACCACATTGGCATAGCAAAATTGGTTGCTTTTTGTATTATCATAAACTTAAAGATGCCACACTAGTATAAAATGTTACAGATTAAATACACACAGTAAGTGATGTGTCTACTTCACAAAATGGAGATGACTAAAATAAAAATGTTTTCAAATCTAAATTAATTGTGCTACAATAATCTCAGTCAAATCAATGAGAAACAATAATGTATACTAGGAGAAAAATGATCTGAAGTTGGTTGTTTAGCACACTCAGATTCTCTGTGTAAGTTAGTGATTGTCTTATAGTTCCAGCCTCATGCTGTGTAATTGCATGCATTAGCACATAGGCTCCGCATGAATGCTTTTGATGAGAGCTGGGGGAATTCATTATAATAGTAAAGATATGTAAAGTGCTTTAATTGCCAGTCAGTTTTAATGGTGCACAGGTTCTAAAAGAGTTTGTGCATGTCTCCACAGATCGGTTACTGGAATGAAATGGATAAGATGGCTGTCACTAAGTCTGACGTCTTTGCAAATGATTCGTTAGGGATGGAGAACAAGACAGTAATTGTGACTACTATCCTGGTAAGAATCTTTATGTTATATTATTCATTTGATTGCTTTTGTAAACGTCCTATATTACACAAAATTGACTCTTGTGAGCTTTAAGCCATATTATAATGCTGTTATTGCATCAAAAACATACCCCCGAGTTGTGTCATTGTTTCATTCACACACTTTTCAGTAACTCTTAGTCCGTTTACATCTCCAAAGCTCAAAATGCTCTGTTCCAGCCCATAATGTCCTGTAGTGGTCGTTTTCAAGTTTACAGCTACTTTTTTACACTTAGTTCAGTAGAGATTGGCATTTCCAGGGTTTAAATCACCTAAATGATTCTAGTGAAGGTGTATGGAGTTTAAAAACACATTATTACTACATGACATCACAAGGTGGAACAGAGTGTTTTCCGTTCAAGACAAGAACTTGGTCTAAATATGCAGGATTTGTTGTGTTAAATGAGTGAATGAAACAAAACACAACTCCAGGTATGTTTTTGATGAGGAAACAACATTAAAATAAAACTAAACGGCTAAAGTACTTAAGCTTACAAGACCCCATCATTGTCCCAAGCATTTGAACATAAAAAGACTTGTAGTTATCTCGACAATCATTCTTAATCGCCCATAAATGTCACTATACTCCCTCTGAGGCTACTGACAACCCCAAAGCCGTATTTGCTGCTACATTTACCATTCACTATCCCAATCTTTTCCATTGAACTGGCTTTCCTCGCTTTGGCCCACGTCCTTTAGGAAGCTCCATACGTGATGCTCAAGAAGAACGCTGACCTTTTCGTGGACAATGAGCGCTACGAGGGCTACTGCGTGGATCTGGCCGCCTGAGATAGCCAAACACTGCGGCTTCAAATACCAGCTCAAGATAGTGGGGGACGGCAAGTACGGGGCCAGGGACGCAGAGACCAAGATCTGGAACGGCATGGTGGGAGAGCTGGTGTACGGGGTAAGAAGTCCTGACCTGGTTGGGTAATTGAGATAGCATTGCTTTATTGATACTTTGCATGGTAAAGGCTAATAATTATTCCCTGACTCACAGAGGGTAAAAATACTTCATAATCAGATGCAGGCGGCACACAGCAGCCTCATTTTTATTTCTTATTTTAAGCGCTGCTATTCCAATATGTCTGTACCGGGGTAAAAGTAATTCTACATGAAAACAATCAGGTACAGACTATTTAACAAATGTTTTTAGAAAGGCTGTATTTAGAATATTATGTGGAACTGACTTTGTTTTTTTTTTAGCTTATAACAAGTTCAACTCTTAATATAAGTTTATATACATACGTTACAAAGTGTCTATCTGTTAGTGTCATGTTCATAAAAGACAAGAAGCTGTAGGTCTAATTTCAGTCCTCCACTTTTTGTCAAAAACACATTTCATTTAAAGACTACTTAACAAATGTTTTTAGAAAGTCTGTATTTACAATTTTATGTGAAATTGAAGCTTATAACAAGTTAAACTCTTAATTTAAGTTTATAAACATACCTTAGGCCACATTCAGAACACTTCACTGCTTGAATTGCCTACGAAGCGTCTATCTCTTAGTGTCATGTTCATAAAAGATATGAAGCTGTAGGTCTAAATTCAGTCCTCCACTTCTTGTCGATAACACATTTCATTTACTCAAACTATTAGTAAATGGTACCCCAATGTAAAGTTTCACACATAGAAAAAGTGTAGTCTCATTAGTATTTAAACAATTTAGACAAAAATCTATACCGTTACAGTTTATCTGAAATGGAGTGGATTCCAGTGTTAATCAGAGATCTAACTCCACTTGACAGAAAAGCAATTGGAATGGCTGACTTGGCTACCAGTGTAAGATTGTAATCAATGATTGACATGAGATAATGGGGAGGAGGGAGGAGGCTGCTCAGTGAAGTGTGGGTTCTTTGACCGAGCTTTGTACTACCAAGACAGTGAAACTCTATCCTGATTCATCAGCTGGTTTCACTTCGTAGAAACCATCTGACCTCGTGGCATTAGAATTCGTTCGCTCAACGGTAGGCGGGTACTTTTTTCATTTAACCAATCGCTGCTATTAATATCCTGTATACCATATCCCATAGGAAGAAGAGCAATAACGTCTATCCCTTTGATCAAATTCACCAAACATTCTCTTTGTTCCGGCTTTAACTCCTCGCTCTTGGGAATCGTTGCCAACACAGAATCTATGACTCTTCACTGATTAGCCTAGTGTATTCTGATTCCTGACCTAGTCACTGGCGAGAAATTAAATTGATTGGAGGCACTAGGTGGCGTCAACCTGGCTAGTGAAACTCACCACTAGAAGACAATGTATATTCTTGGTTGGCATTATGAAACTGAACCTTGGAATAATACAGTATTGTATGAAGTATTGTATATATCCTATTAATCTGAAGATCCAAATCATTTAAATTAAAAAAAAAGTTAAATATACATTAAAATGTTATGAAACGTGCCATAAATGTACTGTGGAAATAAATTAGATCTAAAGCAAATAAGTAAAGTAAATTTTTGTGTGTTTGTAACAAAATATTTTACTTTGTTTATAGAGTCAAACTGTATCTAGTGAAAACATCTTTATTAAACATTTAACACCTAACCTTGTTAGGTTGTGAAAATTCTTACTGCTTGTCCTCAACAGCATACCAGCGTTATTTCCCGGTTCACAGAGGATAAAAACAGTGTATAATTAGACAGAAGAGCTGCTTTTATAATTTATATGTACTGGGGCAAGGCAATTTTTTTTACAAAAATCTATTACAGCCTGTTAGATATAGGATTGTGTCCAAATACTGAGCAAGCTACATACTACTGTATGTAAATTTGACATTTTTACCTTACCTGGCCAATGTGTAGTTTTGCCACAAAAGCTAACAACAACTTGCCTGCTTTTTGCGCTTCCAGTTTATTGGACACTAAAACTGCTAAATGTCCTGAAGAGCAAACTGACCAGCTCTATCTTCTATTACCTTTTGCTGTTCCAGAAAGCAGACATCGCTGTAGCTCCTCTGACCATCACCCTGGTGCGAGAGGAGGTCATCGACTTCTCCAAACCCTTCATGTCCCTGGGGATCTCCATCATGATCAAGAAGCCTCAAAAGTCCAAACCGGGCGTCTTCTCCTTCCTGGATCCTCTGGCCTACGAGATCTGGATGTGCATCGTGTTCGCCTACATCGGGGTCAGCGTGGTGCTCTTCCTGGTCAGCCGCTTTAGTCCGTACGAGTGGCACACGGAGGAGTACGAAGATGGACAGATTCAGACCAATGAGTCGACGAATGAGTTTGGGATATTCAACAGCCTGTGGTTCTCTCTGGGAGCGTTCATGAGGCAGGGCTGTGACATCTCACCCAGGTATGTGCTCGGGATTTCAGGCTGTGGTAGAATCTGGGAATGATCAGTAGTTTTGTTCACATGCACACAAAAATCTGATTATAATCAGATTTCTGGAATTCTAAGATTACATAAAGGACATGTAAACTGCAAAATCTGGTATGTGTAATCAGAGGGACCATGATCAAGAAACTAGATGATTTTGGTGTTTTCATTTTGTTTTAATAATCTTAAAAGAAATCAAATAATCAGATTTTGAGTGTGCATGTAACTGCAGCCACTATTGTCTGGCTCTAAATGGGTGGATTTCAGATAAAAGAATAACTAACTGTTTACATGCATAGAGATGTTAGACTGTAATAATCTAATAAGATGCTATTAGTAATATTGATTCAGTTTCAGTTCTGATACCAATATTGATTCTTTGGTTTTGGGAATCTTCCGATATCCAATATTACCTGATACCAGTGTAGGGAATGGCACTTAAAACATAGTTAACTCATAACACAAAGGATCCTTCACTTCACTACAGAACAATTTTGTATGAATTAAATGTCAAATATTTAGAGATGTCCTAGGCCACATTAAGCCTTTAAATAGTTTTAGGGTTAAAGGCCAGGATATCGGCTTTACATGGTCAGCAAATGTTTCAGAATCTGTGCCAGTATTCAGTACCAGTATTCAGTACCAGTATCAGTGCATCATTAGAGGATTTTAGCCAAAATGGTAAGTTTGATTTTGCTCTCTACTAGCTTTTGTCAACTCACTGCTCAAAAACTGCAAATCTCCGGGTCTCCACTTGTTGAATATTTACTATTGTTGCTTGTGATCATCTTAATAGCAGCCAGATCAGAACTGCCAGACTGCACCAGGCACCTGTTGCCTAGTGACAGCTCTTAAACTGTAGAAATAGCGAAGGACACCAACACAGTGTTTATTGTTATGACGCCCTGTTTGATCATGCGACATATTTGCAATCCCTGTGGTGCATCTTTCCTGAAAAAATGTGTGGTGTTGCTGTTGAGACAAATAATCACTGCAAAATGTGCTTATGTCTTGGTCAGAACAGAACAGTTTGTGTCACGTTTTAAAATGATTTTAAAAATAATGTTGCCCAAGAACTTGACAGTGCACACACAAGTCAGAGCTGAGTCTAAACCACCAACATTCAAATTTGTGATTGAACACCCTAACACTGAGCTCAACCTACAGTGTACCATATTTTTCAGACTATGAGGCACACTTAACATCCTTTAATTTTCTCAGAAATCAACATTATAATCCGGTGCACCTTATGTATTAATTCTGGTTGTGCTTCCAGCCCCCGAACCAATTTTATGTGATACACAGCGCCTTTAGTCCGACAGAAGATAACTGCATCAGTGCACAAGGGGCGTTCTGTTTTCTCAGCACTTATAGTTTATGCAAATGAGCCATGTGGTTTTAAGTTTCATTTCTGTAAAACAAAAAAACAGAAACAAATGTGCACAAAGCTGCATTAAACACATTTTTACTCAATGTATATTTGAGTCCTCCTCATAGGAAATTAAAAACCAACTTAAATTATCCACATTCACATTCATAATACACATTCATCAAGACAGGGAGGCAACGCCGGGCGAATTATGCCACGATCTGCCAATGGATCGTGGATGTCTGGGCTAAGGGATCAGTCATATCTCATCCGTTTTTTTCACTTAATGCGCCTTACAATCCAGGGCACCTTATGTATGAAAATAGACGAGATAATTCAACATTATTGACATTGCTTATAGTCCGAAAAATACAGTTGATTGAGGTTTTATGACAGTAAATTTGTGGGTGGAGTTACAATAAAATGTGCTAACTGTAATAATTGCAGGTTAAAATAAAGGTAAGGTTAATAAAGAAAAATTCTGAATCATTATACTTTTATTTATATTTTTCACCCTGCACACCTACACCACACTGCTGCACCTCCATAGGCAGCTTGTTGTGAGCAGTCAGGTGCTCAGCTGAATCCACATGTGACTGCAGTGTCCTGTGGATCTGTGTTGTTGTGATGATGGCTCCCTGTGATATACAGCCCTGTCATGTCACATTACTCACCAGCACTGAGGCCACCCCATATACACGCTACGGCTGTCTCATAGAATGCATGTTCTGCTGCTAAATAAAACACTGAGCACGTATATACTAACTTGCATCATGCTTGTGTTTGTATTTACTGTTGTAGTCCTTTGTAGTTAGGAGAGGTATTTACAAAAAAATAATATATTCTGATTGTTTTTATTTATTTTTTAGGTCCTATAATATGCAAAATTGTCTCTTGTCAACTTTATGGCATGTTAGAATATTGTTATGTCATCAAAAACATACCTGGAGTTGTGTTTTGTTTTGTCTGCATTATTAAGCTGTCTATATCTCCAAAGCTCAGTATGCTCTGTTCCACCCTGTGATGTCACGCAGTGGTAGTTTCCAAGTTAACACCTTTTACCTTTACTTCAGTAGAGATTGATAATTGGCCACGGCTAAAAGGATACAAATGGTTCTAGTGAAGTATGGCATTTAAAAACACAGTGGAGCACTTTCTTTATTACTGCATGTCATCACAAGTGTTTAGACTTAGCCTTAGAGAATTTACTCGTAGGTAAATTTGCAGCATTTGTGATGAAACAAAACTAAACTCCCAGTATGTTTTTGATGAGGATACGGCATTGTAACTTAGATCAGAACATAGTGTCATATGGGACAGTTTAAGACATTTTTTTTTTTTTTATTATTGATTTAATTATAAATAACACACCTCTAGTAGAAAAGTCTGGTGCTTGTACTTGTACGAACATTCAAAAATAGGATAGGTTAGGTTGCTTTATTCATACTCGTAGGTAAATTTGTTTGGCACATTAGAGAGGCTGGTTCCACATTTCACATTTAATTCATCCACATTATGTACAATAAATACGTATAAAAACACAATTATAAAATAAATTGTTACAGTGCTCCAGTGCAAAATGGTTTTCTTCCATAAATAATTACATTCATCCATCACACTTGTCTAAGACCACAATAAATATTAAATATATTTAAAAAAAACACATTATGTGAAATTGAAACGCTGACCCTATTTAAATATATTATGTCACCTTTCTTTGTAAAAGATTTCTGTTAAATCAAAACTAATCAATTATAATGAGATCTGTTTAAAATAACTACATTCATTTCATATTATGCTCTGGAAGAAGCTGACATAATATATTTAAATAGTGTCCACATTTCATTTTACTTTTTTTATTTCTTTTTTTGACATTCAGTAGAATTTCTAAGAACATAGTTGTCGCTCACCCAATAACCAGAAGGGAGCCAGATCAAACCTCATGATAGTGCATTCTGTTTTTGCGTCCTTGGGCAAGACTCATCATACACCATCCACATTCCCCACTCCAGTCCAAATACGTGTAACAGTTGTAGACAGACAGGGCATCAGGAATTATTTTCTTCCCCAAAGGATCAACACTGTCATTTGAAAAGGTTTTACCCGCGTCATGGTAGAACTACTTTTCAGTACATTTTGTTTGTGTTCGCAGGTCTCTGTCTGGGCGCATAGTCGGAGGCGTGTGGTGGTTCTTCACCCTCATCATCATCTCGTCCTACACGGCTAACCTGGCTGCCTTCCTCACTGTGGAGAGGATGGTGTCGCCCATAGAGAGTGCAGAGGACCTGGCCAAGCAGACAGAGATCTCCTATGGAACACTGGACTCTGGATCCACCAAAGAGTTCTTCAGAGTAAGTTATGATTCAGTTTTCTCACTTAAACTTACTTGGTGTCTCTGCACAAGTTCTAGTATTAAAGAGTGGGTATTATGCATTTTTTTTCTACCATGTTATAATGTTCCCTCATCAAAAACATGCCTGAAGAGGTTTTAGATGTCATCCATGCATGTTGCAGTAATTTAGCGATCTCTCCCGGGCACTATTCATACTCTCCTTATAGTTAGCTGTAAGATTCTGTTCAATGCTCAGCCCACAACAATGTCCATGCTCCCACACAGCAATTCTCAATGAAACATAACTGTGCACAACAACTTGACAAACAAAGGGGGAGCAACTTAACATGGAGTGCAAAGAGAGGGGAAAGTCAAAAAAACAAAAAAACAAAACAAAAGTGAAACTCGTTAATATGTTGTTTTTTGTTGAATAAAGCATTTTCAAAACAATTAAAGGTAACATGGTGATCTTAAGTTATGTGTTTGCAGTTAATACCAAGCAACAAGGAACCTTTTTTTTTTGTTTTGTTTTGTTAAAATAATGACTAGTTCTTTCTCTTTTTGCTACATATTTTATTTCCTTTAAAAATGCATCCAAGTTAGCATAGCCCAAAGCTGAACAGCCACACTGACCCATATAAGCAAATGAGACAAATATACAAATAATAATTACCAGTAGTTTTTGGGTCAGTGCTGCCACATATATTGCTTCATCTAAAAGCATTGACGATAGCTTTTAACACTGTTATGATAAATACCTTTATTTTGAACACATATTTCAGTTTTATACTCAATTGCTTTATTTCAAGCTTGTGTTTATAACCAGAAAATTGCTTTTAATGGTGTTTGGGCAGCAGAAAAGTGCTGTAAACAAACAGTATGTGGGCAAAAAAATTGCAATTTTACGCTTTTAAAAATGTACTTTTGTTAAATTTGATGAAAATAGATGTCATGTTAGTGATGAAGCCGCTGAGTAAAGAACAGATGATGCCTCATTGGCCCTGGTAGTAAAAGGCTGCAAAAATCCAATCTGGTCTGACACAAAGGAGCACAAAAATGCTTTTACTCAGGACCACTCTTTATTGATTTTATTAACATATTTCAGCTCCACCTGGACTTCTCCACTTCTATGGAAATATCAAGATGGAATACCAAGAGAATAAAATGTTTACTATGATAATGCAATCGATAAGCTTTCAAGGTTAGACAGAGCAGCTGTGAAAGAGTCCTGTGTACCACTTTCTAAGGGGAGATCAATATGAATTTGTTGTAAAAAAAAATCTACTTCATGCACTCCTCAGTAAAGAGAGTAAAATGTAAAACGGTAATTCAGCTAGCCACATTTTGGAGCCTAATAGGTAGTTCTCTTTTTTTCTACTGCCTTTGTTATAAGTGACTTTAGAGGGTTTTCAAATGTAAATTAGATAACTTTAGATTAGTGAATTAGATTTTGTTGTTAGTTCTCACACTCCTGAAAACAGAATCGGGCCCAATACTGACCCTTGGGGAATCCCAAATGGAAATGACAATGGTTTTTAAATTATATTTCGTTTCTCCCTGGTGAGTTATATTGTGATATTGAGGTAGGGTTGTTCTGATAGCAATACTGGTATCGGCAAAAGCGCTGATACCTCGCATTATTCCGGTATCGGCGAGTATCAGCAAGTACTCAGACCAAATTACCAAATCACCAATCCGATATTACTGTGTTTTCCACAGTGAGGACCTGCAGATGAGAGTTCAGCCGCTGGTTACTTTCGTGGCTAATTAAAACCTGCTGATAATGACAGAAAAATGTTTGTATTACCTCTCTGATACCTTCATTCAGCCTATGGTGCAGCCCAACAATAGCAGCAACATACTCAGACGTTGTTTACTTTGAGGATGAGCATTTTTTTACAGGCCTCACTGCTGTTTTTATCTATGCACTGCAGTAGAAAGTAACACATTTTTAAAGTATAAGTGCTTAAATCAGCAATACTTGTGGTCAAAATTATTATATATTTGACTCTTAACTAATCTAATTTGTTCTTCTAGATTTTCTTTATGGATAGCCTTTTAGTAGATTTATTTATTGCTCTTTTACTGTAACAAAATTGACTAGCCTTTGTCTACTTCTTCACACTATGTCGTAATGGCGAGTACACTAAGGCCAAGTATCAGTATCAGATCGGATCCCAAAATTTTTTTTTATCAGAACAACCCTATATCAGTGTATTGAAACAATGACAATATAGTCAACAAATAAGGCATTTTGTACACAATAGTTATATTTCTATACTCACAATATATAGCTTTTTTTGCCAAATGAAAATGTTCTAATCTTTTCCAAAACTTACAATATTCAATGTCATGGTCATTGAAAATCAAAAATAATTGCGTGCATTTTTGTTCTCTCTTTCTCACCTCTTCACAGCGCTCCAAAATCGCCCTGTTTGACAAAATGTGGACGTACATGAAAAGTGCCGAGCCCTCTGTGTTTGTGAAAACCACAGCGGAGGGCGTGCAGAGGGTGCGCAAGTCCAAGGGCAAGTACGCCTACCTGCTGGAGTCCACCATGAACGAGTACATCGAGCAGAGGAAGCCCTGTGACACCATGAAAGTCGGGGGCAACCTGGACTCCAAAGGCTACGGGATCGCCACGCCCAAAGGATCCTCATTAAGGTGGGTGGAATAGTATAACAATGTGTCCAATGTTGTTATAGTATCCCACCTACCCTGATGTAGCTTTGCTTATGTGTCTCTGGTTTGTATACGGAGATAAGGTAACGCCAAAAACCCCACTCCCCCCATCCTTGAGCCTTGCAATTTATTGTAAGTCGATAAATTGCAACAAATTTATTTTATATTTAATTGAATTTTTGGAATGTTTTTTATGATTTGATTGACTGAGGCTCATTTAGATTGAGATTGATGGGTTTTAGTGAGATATTTCATAGTTTTACAGTTAAAATGAGGGGCTGGGTAAAGCTACTAGTGTAAATAAGTAGATTTTAAAGTAAATCTGGATGTATATAGTATAGGTCCAACGTTCATACGAAAATAGTAATGATTGAATACAGCCAGCCCCTTTAGTCTAAAAACAAAATAAAAAATTCTAGCAAGATTGAGATTTTTAATTTAGTTTTTAATCACTTTATTCCAGCTAGACCAAATTTAGGCTGCGCTTTTGTCTTGCTCTGTCTTAGATAAATGTGATTTTACATGTTTTAATATGCTTGCTAATGCCTTTTCCTATATAGCAATAATGTTTAGTTATAATGTTGAGAAGATATAGACCCCTTTGCAGGTGTGTATCAAAAAGATTAATGCTAATATATAAGCAGCAGTATTTTTTTTTACGGTACTGTCACTTAGTTATCTCAATATTTTAATTTCATTTTTAATTTAGCTAGTTTATCAGATATAGTAATAAAAACCACATGTAAGAAATTTAATTAGTTATATGTTATCTACAGGATATTAAGGGTGTTCGTGTTTTTGTAACTTCTCGCATAGCATTACATAGCACAGACATTTTGTACTAATAATTACCTGTAAAAGGGTCTATATCCATTACATTTAGAAAGTATTTTAAATGATTCTGCTAAACCCCTGCAGTACACGTTTTGTTCATTATGGCAATTTTACATTTTCCCTTTAAGGAAAACATTGGCAAAACCAAATTCTTTATAATACATGTATTGTGGCACTGCTTGGGTTTCAATATGTTTTAAAATGTTTAATGAAATGAATGCTTCACTTATATGCTGACAGTACTAGCCTATGTGCAGGATGTTAGGTAGCAAGGTTAGTTTCTAGAAATGTTGCATGTTTTTGCCGTATTCTCATAAGGTCTAACCATTTCTCCCCATTACTGCTGTTTTGCTGTCTCTCTTTTAGTGGAGTCACTTGCCAGACACTGTTTTATGTATGTTATGGATGTGAGTACGCTGTAGCCACAAGCCCCCCTATAGTCCTAGCACTCTGTCCTCCCTGTTCAAGTGTACAAGCTCTACCACCTTTGGAAAACCAGTCAAATTATAGTCATTTCACCTACTCTAAAAAGGGGGGACATAGTCTACTTTGATGTGGTTAATCTGACAAAATTGAGCAAGTGCTACACAGACAAATTGCTAAAAAGTGGCTCACCCTGTCTTACAAGTATGTTTTATCGTTTCAAGAAATGCGGTTAACCTCGCAGTACTAAAACTGAATGAGCAAGGCCTGTTGGACAAATTGAAAAACAAATGGTGGTACGACAAAGGAGAGTGCGGCAGCGGGGGAGGTGATTCCAAGGTCAGCCCCAGTGAGCAAAGTGATGGGTAACTCATTGCCAACTCGCAAAAGTAAGCAGCAAACCAGCGCAGGACCCGATCTGCCCTGACAGCCGCCCGTGCACCTGCTGATTCAGCCGGGATGTTGCTAGATTAATCATACAATAGCCGTCAATCTGAAAAACAAGTCCCCCTGAGTCCTATATTGCCGACTCTTCCCACTGGCCTATCATCTGCTGCCCTTGCTGCTTACTTAAGGCGATACGTTAATGCACATTTGGCTCTGCAAAACTCGTGTTTGCTTAGGCCAAATGGCGCATCAACGACTATCGCCGCCCCTACGGAAAGAAGAGAAAGAAATGTAAGAAAAGAGAATCAAAGAGAGGAAAAAAGTTTAAGAATCAGTGTAAATGTAATAATAACATAAAATAACATTGATAATGTTATTTATGTTATTTCCCACGTGAAGAACGCCAGTAAACCTTGCAGTATTGAAACTCAGTGAGCAAGGCACCTTAGACAAGCTGAAAAACAAATGGTGGTACGATAAGGGTGAATGTGGATCCAAGGACTCTGGAAGTAAGGTTAGTCGCTGCAGGTTCTATATGTGATACAAGCACACTCATGATTATTAGTGGGAATGACCCCATGCAAAGTAATGATAAATCATTTCAAGCAAATGCACAAACAAAGCATGAGATGCCTTGGTAAGATGTAATATACTAATGCCTGCAGACCTACTAATGATAATCCAGTAATGCATGCATTGTCCATTCTTGATATGTGCACTCCCTTATCAAAATGATCTCTTTTTACAGCTCATTATTGCAAAGCTTTTTTCTTACAAAAAAGCTTACCTAAAACTAGACTTGCAGAATTGGCTTTTCACGCTGCAACCTCCAAACTCGGACAGTGATTGGCTAAACTCTGGACCATCTATAAAGGGTGTCCAATGTCTGTTGTATCTGTATCACTGTCTCTGTACTGTTGTTGTGTCCTTTGTTTGTGTCGATCCTAGTGTCGCAGCTGATTTTCACTGTGCAACTGAGTAGAAATCCACCTTACCACCTTAAACCACACAGAATACTCCCAATCCGTTCCACCTTAAAATGTTCCCGAGTGATTCTCTTTCCTCCCTGTGCACTTGTTTCTTTTCCTCACACTCACCTCTGTCCTGTCCATTCCCGTGGTGACTGTCACTGTCCTCTTCTCTCACAAGCAGATACTCTAACCTGCACCATTCCAAACAGGTAGAGCCCAGTGTATCCATTTGGCCCCTTTCAAATGAATACATGGGTATAAGAGGGTGTGCGAGAACCAAAGGATTTAGGTACGCAGGGGTTAGAAAACATTATGTATATGATTAATGGCTATTCACACCCACTGGTGGCATGGTCATTTGGCTGTTCTGCGAGATGCCCATATGTTGCTACCATTACTGTGGGAAATTGTCTTAAGCACAAATAGAGTATACAGGGTCAAACTCAGTCCCCTCTGAAGCCTGGTGACAGATTACTGACAGCAGTGTGATGGGTGTTAGCTTGTTAGGCTTCTGAAGGCGATGTATTGCGCTTATCCTGTACTAGACTCACTGTAGACCTGTGGAATACTTCCACAAGTCACTAACTGTGAACACTGTTCAAATACAGATTACAGCTGTGTCATGCAAATAAGAAGCCATGTTTAAACTGGATTCTTCAAAGTCTTCTTCTATGCATGATGCAGCTGTCACCTGCATTTGTGTGTGCTTACATTTGTGTTCACACACAGACTTCTGGAAAGATTCCTGAGCACCTGAATATGGAAAGGACGCTGTATATGGCTCTAGAGATTTGAGAGGGTAAACTGGTGGGATGGGTTTTTGCTATGACAAGCAGTAAACTTACATAATACTACCAAAAGTACATTTGAATATGGTTTAGGGGTGTGAATATCCATCACCTGGGTGCAGATAGGCAGTAGTCAACAGAAAACTGTCCCCCCTCTCGTCTCTGTGTGAAAGTAAAGGTCTTTGTAAGAGCTGAGCCCTGTGTGATGGGCAACCCATGTAAATGGTCCTTAATTTGCAAATTCTAAACAGTAACTCACAACACATAGCCTGAACTGCCCTGCACATGTACTCCTGATGCATTCCATGTGAAGTACTAACACTTTGCTTTACATTAGTTCTGAGGTACACACTTGGTTGTCGTCTTGTTTTTGTGGTGTAGATTATTGGCTGTCTAAACATTGTAGTTCTAGTGGTGCCTTCTTGTGTATTTTCAGTTCACTTTCTTGTTTTCTTTGTGATCTTGTTTTTTTTTATGTTCATAGTTAAATATTTGAAAATGCCTCCAATGCTCCACACTAACCGTTGTCTCGTGTGCACCCCACAGGAGAAGACAAGTGCCCTCAGCCTGAGCAACGTGGCTGGGGTCTTCTACATCCTGGTCGGCGGACTGGGTTTGGCCATGCTGGTGGCTTTGATTGAGTTCTGTTACAAGTCCCGAGCCGAGGCCAAACGAATGAAGGTGGCAAAGAATGCACAGAATATTAACCCAACTTCCTCGCAGAATTCTCAGAATTTTGCAACTTATAAGGAAGGTTACAACGTATATGGGATCGAAAGTGTAAAAATTTAGGGGGTAGGGAACGAGGCTTTCATATAAATTCCCCCCAAAATGCACGCTTTTTGGCTCCATCCGTTCCATCCTTCAGTGTTAGTGAATGAAGAGGTTGGCCAAAGTACCGTATGTATTGGTGACTTATAATTTAATGAGAGAAAGCGCTATCCCCTTTTTAACGCTTATAATGTGTTTGTCCATTTAAGTTTCCTTGCAGTTTTAGACATTTTCATGTATGAATGTTGAAGGCCATGCCTGCTCTGTCTTACATATCCGCTATAATGCTTGCAATGACCATGCATAACCGTAACATACATGATCATTTGCACATGGCATTGTGGTAACCCATTCTAGTCATGTTTTAGTTCTCATGAGCATTCCCACCTTTTTGAACATGTGTTGCTGTCCTCACATTCAGTATGTTTATATGCAGAGCTTAGTCGGACTATGCTCATAGCTCGATTAAGTCCTGTATCTAGATTACTCGCTTAAAAAATCTAATACAATTTTAATTTATGCTGCATCCATTGGGTCTTCAAACACAAAGAAAGCACGGTCACAAATGTTTCTTTTTCTAAAGCCCATGTATGCATCATAAGCGTATGAGCTTTTTTTTTCTTTTCCAGCATGACCAATGTTTTTAGCTGCTGCGAGATCCAAAAATGAATCTTCATGGGTTTGCTAAAATGCATGATTTTATTAAATTCGGTTAATTCCAAGCTCAGACTAAAGCGCTCTATAAATATCTGTATTTTTTCATTTGAATACAACTTTGGAGCATGCTCAGAGCACCTCTATGATCACCAATCTGCAACATTTATGTGGCAATTGGAGGATCTGACATATTTTTTCCAACTGTATGTTTGAGTGCTATCATCAAAAGTTGCCATAACATGAAAACTCTAAACCAACTAAACCAGGTATAAATCAAAGTCTCAAAGTGCCTTTACTACAACATAGATGAGATTAAACACTCTAATCTAAAAGATCACAAACCAGACTAAACCTGATTGAAATTAGCTACAAAAATCCCAATGAATCTTTTCTTCTCTTGACATTTCCAGTGACAATTTTGTGAACGATTCCATTGCATTAAATGGCAGCCAAATTTCAATGGACTCAACTGCTGCCTATATCCAACATAAACTATATTTTGACGCCCTGATACTCAAAGATTATATTCTTAGACACTGAAAATAAAACATTCGATAATTTCTAGTTGTAAAATACCATAAAAGCCTGCAATGGCGACCAGAAATTTGACCGTTTCTCCTTCTCCGCCTGCATGTAAACATACTGGTTGTACGTGTTTTTTTATATGTGTTCCGTTGCGCTTTGCTTGGGGCGTTCGCGTTACATTGTCTTTTCTTCTAGATGACCTTTGGGGATGCCATGCGCAACAAGGCCCGCCTCTCAGTGACGGGAAGCACGGGCGAGAACGGCCGCGTCATGACTCCAGAATTTCCCAAAGCTGTGCACTCAGTCCCGTACGTGAGGCCCGACATGGGACTGAACGTCAGCCTAACTGATCTCTCCTGATCTTTGACGAACTCCTGAGTGCCTTACAAGGGTTTCCATAGAGCGGGATTCTATTTCTTCTTCTTCTCCGGCCCTCCCTTCCCGTGTTTTCCGGCGCTTTTTTCCTGTCTGTGTGGTGTAAAAACAGTGCTACAAGATGGAGGCTTCATTTTGTCGATTACAAAGACTAGTGTTGTCGCGCTCTGTCTTGACTTCCCGGTATAGAAAAGGGACCCTCGCTCTCTCTATCGGTGGGATGACGTTTTGGACTATAAATGAAAGGTTGTTTTTCTAATCTGGTGACACCGTGCTTTCCTCTGTGTGCACACTGTGAGGAGGCGGAGACGAGGGTTTGATTGACAGCTCTGGGATGTGTTTCGTGCGCCTGATTCCATGGTACGTGCGCGTGTGCATTTGTATGTACGCCTATTCAGGTCTGTCCAGAACACTGTTTCTGTAGCCACCACCGCCAAACTGGATTTTCAAGCACACTTGATATCATCTGCATAAAGATGTGAATTGTCTTTTTTTTTTCTAAGAAAATCTCTGAAAAAATGTTTGTTGAAAAAAAAATATTTTTATGTATTTTCACAAAATAGCTTTTAAATACTTGCTTACATACTGGTTGAATATACATAATGTGTGAGTATAATGAAAGAAAAAATACTAAACAGCTTCTATTCAGATTTTTAAAGCCAAAAACATTGCGAGGTGTTGAATCATGTAATTAATTCCTATTCTAAACTTTCCTGTATATTTTCTTGTTTAACATTTGGTGTTGATATAAACCGTGTCAATGCGCGGCACTTGGACTATTATTCAGTTTTTCTCTGACTTTTGGTGCGGCGATTTTTTCTTTTTTGCTTTTGCTTCTGTCTCTTCGTTAGCTTCCGTACTTTTGCTGTTTGTATTTTTTCTCAAAAGGGCCAGAGTTTGTCGCTCAAAAGGAATCTGTTTACATGCCACCCAATGAGAAAACGTCGTAACATCGTATGATCGTATGGTCCGGTAACACCACCTGACATCCGACTGGGCATCCTCATGGTTTTACGTGATGGTTTTCAATGCCAAATTAGTCAACAGTGCCAAATTCTAGTGCCAGTATAGTCTATATAGTCTTAATATAATCAGTCACTGCTCTCTCAGTGAATGTACGCTCTGAGACATTCTGTAACTTTTGTATCTAGTTGTACAGTTGGTGGCAATAGCCTTTCTGCTTTGTTTTTTCCATTTTACATGTATTTTTTGCATTGACAATAAAGTAGCACCAGTTGCATGTTGTTACCGAGAAGATTAGTTATGTTTAATCATTATTGCCAGATTTTGTTTTCATTTTAATGTTGTGAGGTTAGCTGTTTGAAAATTGGAAATACAATAGAATTCTATATAATATATACATATACAGGTAGACATATATTTTATAGAAAAAAAGTTGAAATGAGAAAAATTGTATCCCCCTCTCCATGAAGTGTTAATGAAAGATATAGTAATTTTAACAAAGACTTATTTATAAATGAAATTCTAATATTCTTCTTTAGGGACGTACAAATGAGCACTTTTGATTCTGTCATGTTTTCTTTACTGAATAAACACATGGACTCACTGTATTGCTGGTATTACTATGATCACCATTGTTTTGTACTCAGCTTATACTGCTAATGGTCTCATGACATATCCAGGCTATTCTCACTGACATTTTCTATATGGAATGTGTGCTATCTTGTTTATTTTTTGGGAATATTTCTAAATAAAAGTGGCTGATTTCTTGTTAGCTTTTGTTGTGGTTTCATTTGTTCAACTAATCAATCTCAAGACGGCCGGTGGTGGACCTCACTACTTGAAAAAATACAGATTGGATCTTTATGCTCTTTCAAACTTTTGGGAAACCTTAATCTTCCAAAGAACCCTCCGAGTGAAGTGCGTGAAATGAGGCTAAAACAACAGCAGCTAGCCCTCCCTCACTATAATGCACATGTTTGTTTTTTATTTTTTTTATATTTATTGTCTGTTTTTCCCCATTCTTCTTGAGACATTCACATCTCTATTTATTTGAATTATGATGGATTGAAAACTTGTCTTATTAGTTTGGTTGCCTACTAGATAACCAGAACTGAAAGTAGTTTTGTTTTTTTCCTAGTACAGTTACTTTTTTTTTTCCATTACATATGATTTTTTTTTTTTTTTTTCTTATGATTATTGTTTAAAAGTAAACTTCTACATATTTAGAGAAAATCAAATTGCTCTCAGGCCTCTGTCATTAGTGGCACTGAGGGCAATTGGTCGGGGGCCCTCCAGGTTTGGGGCCCTGGGCAGCTGTCCACTTTTGCCTAATGGTAGTGCTGCCTCTGAGTATGAGCACTGACATGGTCAGAATCTGGGGGTGGAATGGAATTTAAAACATGGAGGAACACTGCCTAAATGACCACCAGAGTGACAGTAGTTCAGGTGGTATTTGTCCACTGACCCACTGGTTAACGGTGCTTTTCCAGCCCCCACAGATGAGTGCTGCCAATATGTCCTTGGGCAAGTCACTTAACCCACCTGTGAATGTTAGTGTGAGTGGCGTTTTGAGTGCCTTGAGGTGGAAAAGCGCTATATAAAATGTGACCATTTACCAGATGCTGTCTCAAAGTGGAACCAGACAGTGAGAGAGATCGACTGAACAAAACCAAAGTTTTGTCAAGAAAACAATATTATCATATGATGATTTTACATACTGTGATGAATGGTTATTGGGTCCTTTAACTAAATCAGTACATTGTTGTATTTGAAGCCACACCACAAAAATAAGTTTACATATAGTAAGGCCTACATTTAGTTTATATTGTTATTTACTGTATTACATTGGTCTAACTGAGTCGAGCCCCAGTACAGACATATTGTATAAGCAGCTCTTGAGGTCAAAATAAATCAGCTGCATACTGCCTGCATCTAATTCTAAACCATTTTATTGTCAGAAAATCAGGAAGTGGACGGTAGCATGCTAGTTTTTAGGAGCTTTGCTATGATTTACTATGGCAAAACTCGCTCACAACTCAAAGTTGTGAAAAGTGCTTAGAAATTCATCAAGGTGAACAATTAAGATGCTCAAAATGCCAAAGGTAAGTGAGGACTGCAAACCATTTAAAATGAACTTCTTTCTTTTTGTTCTTTTAGGCTTTCCATTAGCTGTATACCCAAGGGCTGGCCAGTCTTCCTGGAGTCTTTTTTTTTCTTTGTATAGCTTATTTGTTTTAAGGAGGAGATTGAGAAGGAGAAGGACGAGGTTTTTGACCATGGCATTTTGTGGGGCAGTGGCAGCAAAGTCCATAGAAAGGAACGTGAGGGGGCGAAGTCGCAGTCAAGAGCGGTGGGATTGTGATGTGCTTCAGTTCGTACACAGTTTTTGTATGACGAAAAGAACATTTGCGTACATCTGTCGTGGCTTTCTTCCAGTTTCTGTCTACTTCCGCACAGAATAGTGATGTTTGTAGCTTGGTGATAACATGTAGGTGGGATGAATGTGAGCTGGTCGTTCAGACTGAAGTCGCATGTCAAAAGTTTGGATATGTATTGGTTTAAGAAGCACATATCCAAGGGGCCTGGGTCACATAGGGGTGAAAATATCAGATTTGGGTCACTTCAGGCTGCAGTCTGAACGTAGCCTTAGAACGCTGTTACCTTCTCAAAAACATACCTTTATTATTAGTTTGTCCACATCTCCCAAGCTCAATGTTATGGAGCAGTCGTTTTTAATTTAACAGCTACCTTTTACTTTTTGTTCAGTAGAGGGTAGGAAATTCCTGGACTAAAATCCTCCAAATGATTCTGGTGAAGGTGTATGAAGTTTAAAAACGCACTGCAGCTCTTCCTATAATACCACATGATACAGGTAGGTGGAACAGTGTGTTTTCAGTTTGCGAGAAGAACTCAGCACCGCTCCTTCTGCTAAGTGTTAATGAATGTCACACGTCTCCATGTAGACTCCGCCAGCCTCTGCTCACTAAAGATAATCCCCCTCCCCCAAACAGCCCATACGCTACTGGACGTAATTCACTGTTTTCCCTCACACCTTAGTGTAATTATAGAGTATATTATGTGGGACCCTGGGCTGTAATCATGAAGTCTGCACCGCTTCTCTTGTGGAATACACCTCCAGGGCCAAAAGGAGCAATAACTGTAAATTAAGCTTTACAAAAAATAATTAATTCAGCCCTCTTCTGTGTAATGTAAGGTAATGGGCTTTTCCTGTTTTGGAGTAAAGCGCTTTGTTAAATATGCAGGTCAAATTGTGCTACAGACTTTTCTCATCGTACGTAGACTGCTTGGTTTGAATCATAGACTGTATAAAGAAGTACACAAAGGGAGTGTGGCGTCACCCACTGAGTCCTGCTTCAGTCAAATGAAGCTCATGATTCTAGCAGCTATGGCCCTGTCACACCTTGACGATTTAACCAGCGTATGCCGATGTACCAGAATTTTCCTGAAACGCTGGCATAAGCTCAACTGTACGCTGTTTTTTTATTTTTATTTTTTGAGTGTATATATAATGTATTAGTAACTTATATAGAACGTTTTGATAACTATATATACCAACTAATGCTTAGTGTATTGGAACTGTTTTGTGTTGTGTTCTTCCGGCCTGCTGGGGGGCGCTAGTTGTGATTTTGGTGATATATTTAGCCAGTAGGTGACAAGAAGTAAAACTACTAGCTTGAAAATGTCAGTCAGTCCATGATGTGTTTTGCGGTTAGATCTGAAACCATCCTCTCATTTCTAGCCCTTTGAGTGGCAATATGAGTAGGTTTTTACGTTAAAAATGAATGTTGACAAGTGCATTTGTAGCATTTTGTTGACGTTTGTAGCATTTTATAGATATTATTTGAGATGTTCCAGTAGTGGTAATGGGGCCTATTTGAGTTATGTGTATTACTTCTTAGCTAGCATTAACCTGTTAATTGTCTGTATAGTCATTTTAATGTGCACAATTTATTTTCTTCTGAATACCCTTTTGTATTTTGTTACAGTTTCACACTTTTTTG